TTAGGTTGAAACGGTTTCGCAGGATATTGTGTTCCGTCTACATAGAGAGCTATAAATTCTGCATCGTAATGTTTAAAATGAAAAGGGTTTTACTATACGCTCCGTTGAAAGTGTCGTTGTCAACCATTCCAAAAAATGAGTGTTTTAGGAAGTGGGCCGAGGAACAGGTTCTCTTGGGTGCATATACGGCTGCCCGCCGGTAGACCGAAAGTCTTTATACATACTCATTCGATTGGGTATTTAGCGGTGGCATTGAGCAGCGCCTGCGCATGGCTCAACCTTATGGCCTGGCTCCTTCTTTCATTAGACAAAATTCATCTTTACTTCGAACCATTTTAATTTTCAAAACTTTGTTCAGTAAAAGTTTATCCTGAAAAAATATATCTGAGTGAATGTGCCCCAACAAGTCAAAGGTTTTGCTTTCTGTGCTGAAAAGGGCCCTGGACTTGAATCCACTGTTACGGCTTTGAGGATCCGTCGCGTCCATCTGACCGGCGTGTCTTTGTAAAACAATCCTGCTGAAAATTGTGTGTCTAACAATTCCCTAGAAATGATCTCGATAATAGAGCTATATGCATATGTCTTACTGGACTGACTGATGAGACGGTCCCCGAGCATAACGTCTACTTGTGAAAATACAGATGCTATAGGATAGTTTACAACCCTGACTTTAGCATCATTAGCTATATTGGATCTGTCAGGGTTTGTGATTTTACACCTTAGATGTAAAAAGGTGTTGTTCAGGTCTAGGTAATCTTCACTGTTGCCGGCCACATAAAACTCCAAGGGACCATTATCAGTCACGGCTGAAAGTGCCGGTATTTCAACATAAGTATATTTTTGAATACTTGTTTGAGTGTAGAGTAGAGTAAAAATATCCAGTTCCGACTTGGCGAATTCGGTGGAAAAACTGTGCTTAAAGGCCATGGCATTAGAAAATGTTCAGTCTTCTTCGTTTGTTAGAGGAGGAGGAAGAACAATGCTTGTTTCTTCGTTTGCTCTTTTTTCACTCTGACCTTACCTTTGGCGATCTTATGTTTTTTATTTGAAAATACTACCTGCCTCCCAGGAGGCCACCTAGTGTTCTTGTAGGTAATCTCTGCGAGTTCCGACCCATGCTGCTCTTGCGTCTTGGTGATGATGTTACTCACCACGTCACTTACAATGCCTTTTGCCGCTGTTTTTAAATGGGGTTTTACGATAGATATACCCCTTTTAATAATAGGAACCGCCATCCTAAAAAGTGATTTGAAGATTCCGCCGAACCCCGCCCCATACATGGAACCCCAGAAGTCCATCGCCGGCCTGATGTTTGTAGTAGTCCACGTAGAGGTGAGGGTCGATGTAGCTTGCTCCAATTTTTTTTCAAACACGAAAAGAATGTTTTACTGGTCTAATGTGAAGTTTAGCAACAATACATTTTCTGTATAGAAATGAGAAATGCTTATCCTGGTCAGATTTGACTTCAATGACTGTATCGCTAATAAGACTTTTACTCACAGGTATGTAGTGCGGCTTGTCATAGGCTAATGTGATGACTTTGTTATTCTCATCAGTTATATGTACACATCTCAACAAAGGCACAAAACTGTCCCAACCCTTTGATAATGAATAATATCTGTATACACAAACATGGTGTAAAATCCTGCATGAACGTCGGCCAGATAGGGAGGCTCAGGGAGATACGTGATAAATTTCCCTTAGCACCCAGTGAATAAGATTTGTCAGTTACCATATGTATTTTGTTGATCTTAACATTATAATCAATTTTTATTTCAATAGCTAAATATTTTACAACTCTGTTCATTTCCTGAACAAGTTGTTCTTTACTGTCGTAATACCCTTGACTGATTTGACAGGTATAAAATTCTTTATTTGTTCCATCGAGCAAAAAACAGGCTTTCCCACTCCATCAACGAGTACCAAGTATGGGGATATTGCACTTCTGTGAGAGCTACCTTCCAGTCTCCCGTCAAAGTAGCTCCTGTTCGATAGTCGCCACACGTGAAATTTTTCCGACTCATTGAGTCGCAAGGTTGATCTAGACAAAGTTGTCGCCAGCTTTTTAGGGGCAGCTGGGGCTTTGGCCATTGCTTCTTAGCTCCTTAGCTGCTTAGCTCCATATACATCTCTTGAAATACCAACTCTTAAATACTCTTGCTCACAGAAGGGGGGGGAGTTTGATCCTACGTATAGTTATAAAAACCAACGTCTGATTGGTCGGCATATTGATCGACATCTATACACATTCAGCTCAGCTTATTGTATTATCCCTCTTTCCTTGTAAATATGTTATTCCTGTATCAGACACTTTTTTGCAAGTGCGAAGCAAAGTAAAGATTTGATTGCAAACGCCACTACTGTGTACTTGTGTTCTTCCCTTCCGTCTCCATCACATGCTATGTTATTTCCCCTTCACCCCTAGCTACATCTGAGGGAAACGTAACAGCATCTTTTAAAATTTGGCGGGAAAATATTAGCAGGTTTCCTGTTCAAAAACAGGTGTCTAAACTAGATGCCTAATGGAGGTATGTGAAATTGATCAATAGGTCTTTTGCCCATCAGGTTATTTGTTCAAACCAGATGATTTAAAGGGTGGGGTCAAAATAGCGGAAGGTTTCTGATCAGGTTTCCTGTTCAAAAACAGATGTCTAAACCAGATGCCTAATGGAGGTATGTGAAGTTGATCAATAGGTGATTTGCCCATCAGGTTATGGGTTATGGTTATGGGTTAAAGGGTGGGGTTACGGGGTCAAAATAGCAGAAGGTTTCTGATCAGGTTTCCTGTTCAAAAACAGATGTCTAAACCAGATGCCTGATGGAGGTATGTGAAGCGGATGACCCCCGGGGGACAGGGGGAGTTTGGGATGGGGGAGTTATGTGACCTCCGGGGTGGCCTCTGGGGGTGAAGGTCAAAGGTGTTGTTTGGGATGGGTACATTACTGTTTAAAACAGAACACATCCACACAGAAACACACATACATATTTAGTCCAGGTGTAGACAGTGTTTATTGTCAGTTCTATAAACATTCATTACACCCAACTGTTGTTTTTTTTTTATATGAAACAAGAAGTACAAAAAATGGTTTTCATTAAAAAAAATCACTTTTTTTTCAGCTTGACCACTAAATCATTTGGTCTCACTCTCTCTCAGTATGCTGCTGCTCTGTTGAACCTCAGGGCTAAAACTTCTAAACTCACTTCTAAAAACGTCCAATGTGAATGACACACAGCTGAAGGAAAGGAGTTTCTGTGTATTGTGAGTTATTCTGGAGGCCAGATTTGTGATTATCATAATTGGTCAGTTCTGCTGTTCACTTCAGTAATCTGAGAGAAGATTCTGCAGATAAATTATCCTGCTGGTCATCTTACAGCACACTTAAGTGTGAACTGACAGGAGATGCTTTGAGTAAAATGTTTTCAGCAAAATATCCAAAACCTGAAAGGATTGTCCAGGAAGTGAATGCCATGAAAGAGAAATTATCATAGATTGTTTGTCATTATTGTTTTTTTAATGTAAACTGTTTTCACTCCCACATTAATTAGTTCAGCAACAAATAATGAACTGTTCCTCCTCAGAAATGTCAGATCATAAACAGCTCTCTGTTTGAAGATGTTCATGAGTGATAGATTCTAGTTCTAGATTCAGTGAAGTGTATTTGACCGATGCTCTTTCCTTATTATAATTTATTATGAAACATTTTGCAATGATCATGTTTTTATTATTGTTTTTATCATTATTGTTATTATTATTATTATTATTATTATTATTATCAGTGTTCTACATCACTCGTTTATCAAAATCAAGGCAATAAAAGGTTGTGCTGATTGTCCTAAAGTTAGTCTGTGATTCCTGCCTAGATTCAAAATTTTCTTTTTTTAGTTTACATAACTTAAAATCTCACTCACTCATAAAATTCTCACTCACACATACATACATTTGTTTTATACTTTATTTCAGTGATACTGTGCCCTGTTGAAAATTGTTGCTTGGAAGTTTATTTAAATTATATTGAAGGGGAAAATGAAACTGACACGAAATATTAAGAAAATACATATTTAATTTTTTTTTTTTTCTTTTCAAATTTCGTATATCCTGGAGGACACAGTAATCATGACAGGACGTCAGCAGTCATGTCAAAATAGTGTAGTAAAAACAGACGTCACAGACGGAGTTTAGTGCTCTGCTGCCATCTTGTGTAGAAAAATTATCATTGCAGTGATAAATGCACAATGTCTCCAAGAACTTATATACACGTATATGGGTAAAAGTGTTAAAGTAAACTATTACGTTAAAACATATTGTGTTCTCTTTATTAAATTATAGTTTGTTCTGTATGTTTATTTTTTATTTATGGTTTACTTACATTTTGCTCTTTTCATGACAAAATATTTGAACAACTCTCACTTTACTCACATTTCACTTCTCTACTGGCAGTTTGGATCATTTATTTACTAGCTTTTAGTCAGTCAGTTCACTTTGTTGTGAAATTTATTTCTTTATTTCTATCTATCTGTATTTTAACTCAGAGCAGTGTGTGTGTGTGTGTGTGAGAGAGAGAGAGAGAGAGAGAGAGAGTGAGCTGGTTATCAGTGTGTGTGTGTGTGTGTGTTTGTGTAGGTGTGTGTGTGTGATGGTTATCAGTGTGTGGATCAGCTCTCTGCAGGTGCAGCATTAATGCTGTATTACACTGGAGTGTTTCCTCTCTCTGAAGTCAGTCTCCTGTATGTTGGTGTGTTTCTTACCACACTGCTGCGAGCGTCTCTCCTCACACACACACCTCTAGAGACGGAGGTGGAGTTCTGTTCATCAGCGCTGACGCTCTTTTGATAAATATGGAGAAAGAAAAAATGCCTCCTCTGATTTGTCACTGAAAATGTTTGATGATTTCCTCTTCTCTTTCTAATAAGGTAATATTGAGTGTGATTGGTGGCTGTGGGGAGCTCCCCTCTTTCTCTCTCTCAGTTTCTTCAGTCTCTCTGGAGGAGTGGAGGTGAAACTTGTTCTGCTGCTGAGTTGAACGGACTGTGTGCAAGTCAGAGGGAGATGGACAGCTGTGTGGCTCTCATTCTTCTGTCCTCCACAATCATCACACTCACGACATCTGGTAAGGTTACTTTCCCAATCAAAGATTTAAAGGTATATAACCCCCCCCCCCTCCTTTTTGTGTTTTTAGTTACTAGGAATGGCATTGTAAAGCAAAACATATCAATATTTAAAAAGAAAATGAAAAATAGCTGTTATTCTTAAAATGATAAAAATCAAACAAGTGCTGTAAATTCATAGTTATTTTTTACTCTTTGAGGTCTCGTTGGTATGTGTTTTATTTAATTGTTACTATGTAAGAGGAATGTCAGTAACACATTTTGTCCTGCAAAGGCAGTGTATTATTTCTCGGAACTAGCAGGTTACAGTTTAGGAGATATAATTAAAAGTTTTCATGTTACAATTTTCAAAACCTAGTCCTATTGCGATTTACCTGTTACTCTCTCTCTCTCTCTCTCTCTCTCTCTCTCTCTCTTTCTCTGTACAGACAGTGTGAGGTTGGTAAATGGAGGCCGTCACTGTGCTGGGAGAGTAGAGGTTCTTCATGATGATCAGTGGGGAACAGTGTGTAGTGATGACTGGGATATGAATGATGCTGCAGTGGTGTGTGGAGAGCTGGGCTGTGGAGAGGCTGTAGCTGCACTGAGTGATGCTCACTTTGGACCAGGATCAGGACAAATCTGGATGGATGATGTGGACTGTAATGGATCAGAGTCTACACTGGAGCATTGTAGTTCAGGAGGATGGGGGGTATCTGACTGTAATCATTATGAAGATGCTGGAGTCATCTGCTCAGGTAATCCATGAATGACAGTCTGTCTACACATAATCACTATTATCATCACACCAGCTTTTTGATCAAAATTTCAAATGCTATTAACTTGTAATTAGCTTTATATTATGCCCTAGAGGTTCCTAAATGGAGGTGGGTGAGAAAATAGAAGACATTTAGAAGAAAAGAGAAGAAAAGAGAAGACTTTAGCTATCAATGAATGAATTTGTAAATGTTACTAAAATGAACATCATCGTGAGATTTCAAAGGGAGATTTCAGTCTGGATATCTTAAATGAAGAATTTTGCTTTGATCATTTGTATTTCTTTCATATATATATATATATATATATATATATATATATATATATATATATATATATATATACACACACATTTTAACACCTTAATGAATGTAATGTATGCATTGACATTATTCAAATACTCACAGGTCGCATCTCCAGATTGACTGATGGTCCTCATCTGTGCTCTGGGAGAGTGGAGGTGTTTCGTGGAGGGACCTGGTCCACAGTGTGTGATACTGGCTTTGACCAGCAGGATGCAGAGGTTGTGTGTCGAGAGCTGGGCTGTGGGCTTCCTGTGAAGGTGCTGGGAGCAGCTGCTTTTGGCAGAGGGGAGGGTCAGGTGTGGTTAGAGGAGCTTCAGTGTAGAGGGAACGAATCTGAGATTTCCTTCTGTCCAACATCATCTTCACTCAAACACAACTGCTCCCATGACAGTGATGTGGGACTGGTGTGCTCTGGTAAAGAATGTATATTTAAGTTCTCTTTAAAAAGCATTTTAAATTTTACATTATCTTTGCTGTCGCTTGTCTTCATTATATAAGTAATGACTTGCTGTATATATGCTGATTCATGTAATGTAATGTTCATTCAGGTCACACAGGGGCTCGGCTGGTGAGCGACTCTGACTCCTGTTCTGGTCGAGTGGAGCTGCAGTACCTCAGTGAGTGGGGCACAGTGTGTGATGTAAGCTGGGATATGAGAGCTGCCAGTGTCCTCTGTGGTCAGTTGAAATGTGGGAGTGCTGTGGCTGTGTTGGGGTCAGACTGGTTTGGGGAGGGGAGTGGCCAGATCTGGGCTGATGTGTTTGACTGTCAGGGGAACGAAAAACATCTGTCAAAATGTCCAATTTCATCATGGAGTCGAACTGCATGCTCTCATAAACAGGATGCTGGAGTCATCTGCAGTGGTGAGTGACTCGTAATGTATTTCATTAAAACTGTCAAACTCTTGCATTCTGAAAAATGTTTGACTGTGTCTGTTGGATCCTTAGTTAAAATGAAAATGTGTACTTTATTGTATATTTTCCTCTTCAGATTCCTCTCTGGCATTTCATGAGGGGCGAGTGCGGTTGTCTGGAGGGATGGAGTGTGAGGGGGAGGTGGAGGTGTACTTCAGGCAGGACTGGAGGAGAGTTCTGCTGGACTCCTGGAGTGAGTCTGAGGCCTCTGTGGTCTGCAGACAACTGGGCTGTGGCTCTGTGTTTAACTTCTCCAGCTCCTCTCCATCCAGTCACAGACACATGTGTGTGACGAGTTTCAGTTGTTCTGGGAGTGAAGCTCATCTGGGGAACTGTGGCAGTGCAAAAGTTATGGAGAGTTCCTGCAGTTCAGGAGAACAGCTTTCAATCACCTGCTCTGGTAGGAATTGCAGCAGTTGAGTAATAAAAGTTGCTAAGAATCTTCTTAAAATAATTCTCACTAAAATATATTGTAATCTTCATTGTTCATCTCACATTTAGTTTTCTTTATTATGTAGAAGATCAATGATTAATACTTTACAGCTGCTTTAGGTCAAGAACAATGTATGAATAATTTTAGGGTGAACTGCTGTGTGTTTATATGTGTGTGTGTGTGTGTGTGTGTGTGTGTGTGTGTTTGTGTGTGTGTGTAGGTAAATTTAATTCAGCTCACAGCTCCATTAGGCTGGTTGGTTCCGGGGGAGACTGTGCAGGAAGATTGGAGGTTTTCCACAGCGGCTCATGGGGGACGGTGAGTGATGACTTGTGGGATATTAAGGATGCGCAGGTGGTCTGCAGACAGCTGCAGTGTGGAGTGGCCCTCAGTGCTCCTGTACCAGCCCGGTTTGGACCTGCAACTGGACCCATCTGGCTGAATGAGGTGGAGTGTGCGGGGAACGAGGCGTCCCTGTGGAACTGCAGATTTCAGCTGTGTGGACAGGATGAATGTGGACACGAGGAGGATGTAGGAGTCGTGTGTTCAGGTAAGTGTGCGGATTGCTACTGGTTGATTTTTCTGTTTTTGAAGCCTGTTTAAGGTTACAGTTTTTTAACATAGCGCTGTTGTCAGGTTTAAGACTGTTTGAATGTTCTTAAAACAATGTTAAATGTGTGCATATTTAAATACTGGAATTCTATTGTTACAAGCTGTTCATAAAAATGTAAAATTTATGTTGAAGCATGAAATGTATAAAACAAAATTCATATGTTACTTTTTCAATTACGTTTTTATATTAAATTATTTGATTTATATTTTATAACGATATATATTTATATGGTTATAAGAAATATTTTTCTAATCTTTATTCCATCAGAGTTTAAAGAGATCAGACTCACTGAGGGCTGTGAGGGGAATCTGGAAGTGTTCTACAATGGAACCTGGGGTAATGTGTGTTTAAATGGGATGGATGAAGAAACAGTGAGTTTAATCTGTCAAGAGCTGAACTGTGGAAGATCTGGCAGTGAGAGACCTGCCAAAGCAAGAGTGGAATCAGCTCCTAACTGGCTGGATGATCTGAAATGTAGGAGTCATGACTCCACTCTGTGGCACTGTCCATCTTCACCCTGGAGACAGAACTACTGTGATAAAAACAGTGAGGTGGCTCACATTACCTGCTCATGTCATCTGAAATGCTTCTCATCATCTTCCCATCAGAGACAGTGCTCAAGTAAGGACTCCTACAAATAAAAAAAGTTATTATTTTCAATATTACAGACAGCATTAATCACGTTAGTTGCCCTCTTCGCTTGTGTCTACATGGCCTTTGTTTCACTCTCTGTGATGATCATGTCCTAAACATTACCTCATATTTGTATTATAAATTTATTCTGAGACTTTCCTGCATAGTCCGTGTTTCTGTAACCTCTCATGTGTGATGTGTGTTATGTAGATCACCTGCCTCTCAGGCTGAGGGGAGGAAATGGAAGCTGCTCTGGGAGGCTGGAGGTGTATCATAACACTGAGTGGGGCTCTGTCTGTGATGATCTGTGGGACATCAAGGGCGCTCAGGTGGTCTGCAGACAGCTGGGCTGTGGGCCGGCGCTGAGTGCTAATGGGAGTGCTGTCTTTGGTGCTGGTGAAGGGAATATCTGGCTGAACAGAGTGAAGTGTAGAGGGAATGAGATTCACCTGTGGGACTGTCCTCATTCCCTGAAGAACCACACTGACTGCTCCCACCGGCAGGACGCTGGAGTCACCTGTGCAGGTCAGAAGGTTCTAACTCCAATTAAATCACATTTATCTCATTTATCTTATTTTAATAATCTGCAGAATTGTAATAAAATTCCATTAATGTTGTTTTGTTAAAGCTGCCTAATGATAGTTAATGTTGCCCAGTGATTGCTTTTTTTCATTTGTCTTTTGTTTTTACAGACATATCTGATGCTTCTGGTAATTCACCTACAACACAAAACGTTACTTCAGACATTTCTAAAGCAGATATTCACAATTTTAGACCAGATAAGCTAATAATAAAGAAATCCTAACAAAATGCTAACATTCTAATCTATTAAAAGTTATCTGCAATTTTAATGAAATTTAATTTTAATGCAAGTTTAATGAAACAGGAAAAAAAAATAATGCAGCAAGAAAAAACACTGAATTCCACTAATTATTTCATCTGCCTGTGCTTTTTTATTTGCAGTTGGTCAGAGAGCAAAGCCAACAACCACTCCATCACCAGCTGTACCATCTGTCTATCCAGTGTCTCTCCTGGTTCTGGGAGCGGTGCTCTTCCTGGCCTTAGTGCTTCTGGTTGTGCTGTTTTACCGGAACAGAGTGCTCAGGAGAGGTAGAGAGATTCAGAGATCATCTACAATCCACTTTCTATACATTCTCTAAACATCATCAGTCCTTCAGTCCATCATCAGTCTTCTGTCTGACTCTCTCCCCCTCACAGTGCCCTCTAAGAAGGGGCAGAATGCTGTCTATGAAGGCCTGAGTAGAGGGACAGAGGATGTCTATGAGGAGATTGACCACAGATTCAACACTAAAGGAACAACTATCTCAACACAAAAGGGTGAGTAATATATTCTACAGTAAGTTCAATAATTATTGACTCCCTTTATACAAATAGGTAAGCAAGACATCGATGCGAACCATATGACCAAAAAAAATTCAGTCACCACAGAATCAAGCTTTTAACATGGTAATCTGAGCTCTGGGGTGAGTTGAAGACATGAGTCCAAAAAGAGGATTTGGGAACATGAAAGATCTGCTTAGATTCTGTATTTATGAGGGGTGTGATATTTCCTGCTCTGTATAGGCCCTTTTCACATTTCTGCATTTTTCTGCTGGAAATAGATGCTGCAGGGTAATGTGGCTTCCACTAAAGCAATTACAACAGCAACAATGACAAGTTGAGTGTGTACACCTTACTCAAGTATTAGAACTTGAAGCAAAAACAGCCTTATCTCAGTTTCAGTGGTTTGTCAGCTGACGATGAGCAGAGGAAAACGAGTTTGTGCAGTTAGTAAAGGAATAAACTTTGTCATACAGAGTAAAAGAGCCTCTGTGTCTGCATTTCACCACTGCTGACCAGTGTTACACTGAATGCAGTTTGTGCTTTAAAGTTGCTGGTACAGCCACTTTCAGAGGAATAGTTTTCATTTTCTCCCTCAAAAATGATCAGCAACTGAGAGAGCGAGTGCTCGGTGGAGAGTAGATGTTCGTTCACCAGTGCCAGTGGTTCCACCTTAAATGGTGACTGAGCCACCAAAATGTAGCTCCTGCATCAATTAAAGTGCAACGGGAAAATTTGAACATGAAACTGACTTCGGCCTCTCGACTTTTAGTGGTTTACAGTTTCTCGTTGCAGATTAAATGTATCAGGAAACCAGCTGGAGTGATTATAAATGCAAATAAGAAAACGTCTACAGTGGCACTATGACGACCTGGCATGTGTGCATGTTTAGTTGTTTGCTGCTTTAACTAATTTATTGTTTTTGAGCTGTTTCAACATCTCCAGCTAAAATGGCACATCTTTTTATTTTTTACCTATTTATTATTTATATAGTTATATAAATACACTTATCCATCAATTTCTTACTCTATAGATGTTAGCCAGTGTTATTTTACTCTTATAGCTGTAGTTTTTCCTTGAATCATTTATATCCTTTATTTAGTCTGGACTGTACGGTTGTGGGTTTGATGTTCTCCAACTATTCTGGACACATCTTCAAATTTCGATCTTGGCAACTATGACAAAGACAAAGTGACACACCTTTCTGTGGTGAGCTGAAGTGATACAAACACCTGTATTTCTGAGGTTAGTAACTCTTTGAAAGGCAATAGCAGAACTTGTTTTACCCAGCATTTAAGCACTTCCGTTTCTTGTGAAAAGGGCCTATTTTCTAATCTTATCGAACATTAAAAGAAAAGATTTGTCATCTTGGAAAAGGGCGGTTGCACAAAATACTTAGTACAGGGATGCCAATAACTGTGACACACAGGTAATTTTGTTAATATAATGGTTTTTGGTTTCTTAGAATACATTTAATTTAATTAAGGATCAGATTTCTTGGATATCTTCAGTGTGAGAGTTAATTAACCACAAAAACATTTTTCATTACCTTTTTTACCCACCTTCACCCACCCAAGGGTATAAATAATTGTGGAGCTGACTGTAACATTGGTTAATTCATTTAAAAAGTGAAATTTATATTAGAAATGTGCAGTTTGGGCAAATCTACATTTAGTGTTGTGTGGTAATTCAGCTGATAAGTATCTGTTAGTCAACTTTATCATTCCTGTCAAGCTTCTGTTTTAGTAGATACTGAGAAACCACAAAGCTGCCGGTGTTATGTGTGTGTGTGTGCACGCAGGAGAGAGGGAGAGACACAGTGAGAGACATATCTATGTGTGTGTGTGTGTGTGTGTGTGTGTGTGTGTGTGTAACTATGTGTGTTTGTGAGTGGTGGAGTGTAGGACAAGGTTGGCATAGCAACTTTGGCCATGACTCACACAGCAAGATCTAATCTCTAGCAGGTCTCAGGCCACACTTTTATATTTCTCACACAGTTTTACATTCACCTTCAAAACAACCTCACAATGAATTTAATAATCCATGAAGTTTCCTGCTGCTAGTCCACAGTGAACGAGTTAACAAGCTGACGCTACTAAGAATAACTAGCGCTAAAAGTCTGTCTTTACTCATCTACAGTGTAATTGTTAGCTTTGAAATCGGAATCTGACAGTGCTGCACTGCTGGCTGTTGTTAACATCTTATTATTATACCTGGTCTGTATTCTGTTCAGACCTGTCCAGGGTGTATCCTGCTTTCCACCCAATGACCGCTGGGATAGGCTCCAGCTCTGCCAGCGACCCAGAAAGATAAGCAAGCAAGCAAAGTTTATTTATATAGCGCTTTTTACAACAGGTGTTGTCACAAAGCAGCTTTACACGGAAGTCAGCATTACTGAAAGAAATCCGGGTCCCAGCCCCCATGAGCAAGCCAGAGGTGACAGTGGCAAGGAAAAACTCCCTAGGAACAGTAAGAAACCTTGAGAGGAACCAAGACTCAGAAGGGGAACCCACCCTCCTCTGGTCGACACCGGATAGTAAACATTGTTAGTTTAAAGTAATATAGTACAAAAACGGGGAAGACAGTTGGAGCAAATGATTAATTTGATTAGTTTAGTTCATGCAGCAGCAGCGGCAGCAGCAGTAGCAGCAGCATCAGTGGAGTCAGGTTGTGAGGGTGAGGTTTGCACGGCGTAGTACAGCATGAAGCTTGATGATGTCAAGCCAGTCCAGAGGGCTGGCGAACAGTGGCACTCGATCAAGGCATAAGAGGCAGCAGCATCAAAACGCACAGGATGGGCAGCTGTTCAACTCGGCAAAGAAAAGAGAGAAAGGAAAAAAACACACAGAGAGTCAGTTCTGTAATGGGTGTTTGATTAATTTGATTAGTTCAAGTGATTAATTTTGATTAGTTTAGTTCATGCAGCAACAGCAGTAGCATCAGTGGGGTCAGGTTGTGAGGGTGAGGTTTGCACAACATTGTACAGCAAGAAGCTCAATGTTGGTCAAGACGGTCCAGAGGGCTGGTGAGCAGTGGCACCCGATCAAGGCAGAAGAGGCAGCAGCATCAGACGCACAGGATGGGCAGCTGTTCAACTCGGCAAAGAAAAGAAAGAAAGGAAAAACACACAGAGAGTCAGTTCTGTAATGGGTGACTGATCATAGATTACAGGCTTGACTATACAAGTAAGTTTTTAGCCTAGACTTAAACACTGAGGCTGTGTCTGAGTCCCGAACATTAACAGGAAGATTATTCCAAAGGCGGGGGGCTTTGTATGAGAAAGCTCTCCCCCCTAACGTAACTTTATTAATTCTAGGTACTAATAGTAAACCAGCACCTTGTGATCTAAGTAGGCGGGATGGTTCATAATGGGAGAGAAGTTCCCTCAGGTACAGAGGGGCAAGTCCGTTTAGTGCTTTGTAAGTCAGTAAGAGAATTTTATAATCAATGCGAAATTTAACTGGTAACCAGGATAAGGTTGATAAAACTGGGCTGATATGGTCGAACTTTCTGGTTCCAGTAAGAACTCTGGCTGCAGCGTTCTGGACTAACTGAAGCTTGTTAAGGCTTTTGCTGGGACATCCAGCCAGCAGGGCATTACAGTAGTCTAGCCTTAAAGTAATAAACGCATAAGCAGCTTAGAAGATGTGTGTGTGTGTTTGTGTGTGTGTGTGTGTGTGTGTGTGTGTGTATTCCATTCACAGAGTTGATTGACTGGGTCTGCAGATAAGTTAGCCAGCAACAAATTATCAGTGTTGAATGAGAGCAAAACTTATCAGCTTTCACTTAGTCTCCATCATGACACAGAATGTGAAAGTACAGTATGTTTATGGGTACAAACATTTAGCAAAACTCAATTTACATTTTATATCGCTGTTGTTGAAAAAAAAATCTTCATGAGCTCTCCTTTTTTCTTGGGTGCATTTAAAAATAAAAGCAAGAAAGGAAGCTGGACCCAGTTGTTTTACATTAAACAGAAGTAAGATTATCACATTTCTCAGCACAGTAAATGCTGAGGTTCAGAGCAGTATCAATGTTTTTATTTATTTATTTGTTTATTTTTAATGAGTGCAATAAAATGTTTCCCTTTTTTGTGACAGATGAAGTTCGCTTGTACTCTTTCTTTCTCAAGTCAAGAGGCTTTTATTGTCATTCCATCTGTGTACAAGTACACATTGGAATGAAATTACGTTCCTCCAGGACCATGATGCAACATGGATCAAAATAAGACATTACAGACAACGTGCGAATGTGCAGACGTAAGTGTGCAAACATTAAACTAGAAACAATGCAATAAATATGATAATTAAAACAGACATTTGACACAGTAAACAGACAGGACAGTGCAGTGCTGACTCAGCACTCATTTCTGAACATGAGTAGTGAGGATAAGGTGCAGAGATATTTAACATGCTATGATATGTAGGTATATGCAGTCAGATTATAACATATGTGAGCACAGCAGTTACTGAGGTAGAAATATACAGTACTTGAGTAGAACAAGGTATTAGCAACAATATACAGTATTATTCAAAAGAGGTGTGTGTGTGAGTGTAAAATATGTGTGTGAGGGGGTTTTCAGGAAAAAAGCTGTTGCAGAGTCTGGCAGTGATGGCACGGATGCTCCAGTACCTTCTGCCAGACGGCAGTAGTGAAAAAAGTCCATGTAAGGGATGGATGGGGTGGTCCACAATGCTGGTGGCTTTGCGGATGCAGCGTGTGGTGTAGATGTCCATGATGGAGGGGAGAGATACCCTGATGATCTTCTCAGCTGTCCTCACTATTCGCTGTAGGGTCTTGCGGTCAGAGGGATTGCAATTCCCAAACCAGGCGATGATGTAGCTGCTCAGGATGCTCTCCACAGTCCTCCTGTGGAACATGGTGAGGATGAGAGGGGGGAGATGAACTTTCCTCAGTCTCTGAAGGAAGTAGAGGTGCTGCTGGGCTCTCTTGGCTATGGAGTTGGTGTTAAGGGACCAGGTGAGGTTCTCTGTGTT